ACCAGCACCGACACTAACCTCAGTTCACTGCCAAGTTCAAACATGGCTATTCACCAAAGCCATTGGGGATTCAGGATCAGGGCTGTAACAGACTGTGGAGGTCCCTCCACTACTGTTGTTTGAATATATGAAGTTTTTAATGCTACAGAATTGTTTTGCATTGCTTTTATTGTTGTACTCTGCTCTAAGATCTCAGCATGTAAATGTCCTTAAAAATACACTTATTAGAACAGAGGGCAAACATTTGGTAGATGAGTGTGAGATTAAGTCATATGATCAATTTTTAAGTTTCCTTTATGGTTTAGAATATTTTTTTTAATTATCTAGAGCTGTGATTCCCAAGCTTGGGTCCCTGGATGTTCTTGGACTAAAACTCCCAGAAGCCTTTACCACTAGCTATGCTAGCTAGGTTTTCTGGGAGTTGTACTCCAAGAACATCTGGGAAATGCATGGGTGGAAACCATTGCTCTAGAGAGCTCTCATAGATAGTAGCAACTTTCCATCCTGCATGAATAGTTATTTGATAACACGAAATCGGTGCATAGAAGAGAAGCAAATAGTTCTCTCTGATACATCTTCCTCAGTTGAAGCATGTGGGGCTGCCCCTGAAAACAATCCAGTAGCTTCAACTGGTTCAAAATTTGGCTATCAAAAGTTTGATGGGAGCAGTCTTGTACCACCTAATTTAATCCATAATTTCCAAACTTAATTCAAGGTGCTGCTCTTATAAAGTTTATACACCAAAGAATCAGAATCTCTCAAAATTGCTGACTTCCCTTCTAAACTTGGGCAATAACTCTCTTTCCTTCTAAGGACCTAATTCTGGCTCCTACCACTACAGTATTAGGAAGGTGGGCTTTCTGCCAGGAATTCCAGCAGAAACACTCCAATTCTCGGATGGCCCGTAGATGCTTCTTTTTAAAAGGGGCAGCAAATACAGTTTTATGTCAGTACAAATACAGTCCACTTTGTGGAGTTTCTTTCTCAACACACTTTTATGTTACTATCTTTTTGCTTTTAAGCTACTTTGGTGGATTTTTATCACCGATAACAGCTTTTTGGGGATTGCTATCACTTATATTTGTGTTGTGAGCTGCCTAGACCATTTTATTATATTTTTATATTTTTATATATTTTTATATATATATATATATATATATATATATATATATATATATATATATATATATATATATATATATATATATATATATATATATATATATATATATATATATATATATATATATATATATATATATATATATATATATATATATATATATATATATATATATATATATATATATATATATATATATATATATATATATATATATATATATATATATATATATATATATATATATATATATATATATATATATATATATATATATATATATATATATATA